GGTTATGCACAGTATATATGTGACTGTACGAAATGAAAATGGAAAATAAAAACACATTTACAATAAAATTTTTAGCAAGGGGTTCTTTGCCTGGCTGCTGGGTGGGTGTGGCCATGGTGGGCATGGCCTACTGCACCATGGCGGCAGGGGTGTGTTTTTGCCCTCCCTTTGCTCCGGAGGCTTTCCTCAAGCCCTCGGGAGGGCGGAAATGGCCTCCCCAGGCTCCGGAGTCCCTCTGGAGGCCAGAAACGGGCCCATTTCCAGCCTTCTCAAACTTCCAGTAGGCCTGTTTTTCTCCCTCCCTGAGCCTCCGCGCATGGCTTGTACTTACCTGCATCCAAAACTGGCTGTGTGGGGACTCCTGGGAGGGGTTGGGTGGGGTGGGCGGGGCCAGCCGAGAGTGGGATTTGAGGATTCTCCGAATTGCACAGAATTTTAACTGGAGGTTCTCCCGAACCCCTGCGAACCTCCAGCAGTCAATCCCTGCCCAGAATTGTGCAGGAGGCCAACTAGGCCACGCCCACCATGGCCACGCCCACCCAGCAACTGGGTAGAGAACCGGTTGTTAAATTATTTGAAGCCCACCACTGGAGGGGAAGGGAGAAGGCAATTTTTCTCGCCTGTCTCAAGTCAAATTACTGGGACAATTTACCACCAGAGATGAGAAATCGCTTAATTGCTGCTGAAACAGTACACCACAGCAACTTGCTAAGTGCTGCGCGCAATTATATTGTTTCCACCTTGCCTTAAAACCCGTACAAATAAAAGCCCTCAACACAATTTATCCAAGCACAACAATCCAAAAGAGCAGCCTAATTATAGAATTACAAGACTGGGCGAACCAGTCCTTTTCGCCTTGGCAGGAGGTGACGGCTTTTGTTTGGCAGTAGCGATTTGAGACAAAGCACCCAGAAAAAAAAGCCAACACATCCCAAGCAAAGGCTTAAAAGCAATTTTAAGAAGACTGCAAGAAGAAGAGTCAGAGGAAGGCAGCCTAGAACAGGGGTCAGCAGCCTTAAACACTCAAAGAGCCACAAAGGTCCTAACCGGAAGCCCCGCGTTCAATTCTGAAGCCAACCGGAAGTCCGGTTCCCCCCACCATAGAGTCTCCTCCTAGGGCAGCGTCCTTCTTCCTCTGCCGACTGGAAGTCTAGTTCCACCACCAAGTCTTCTCCTAGTGCGGCATCCTTTTTCCTCTACTTGTCCTAACTGAAATCCCTATCAATTGTGCAGCCGACCAGCGACAGGGAGCCACAGCAGAGGGACGAAAGGGCCACATGCGGCTCCAGAGCCGCAGGTTGCCTACAGCTGCCTTAGAACCACCTCCTGTTTTGCAGAAGACTAATATTGAAATATTGAAAACCTAGAACCATCCCATTTAGAGAGTGGCAGCCCAGAACCACTCCTATTATGGATGAAGGGACAGATCTATATGGTCTAAATGACATTTGTTTATTTGAAGAATGCAGATAATGCCCACAGCCCAGAACCACCGATTTTATAGAGAAATGGGGACATCTTCAACCTAGAACTGCCCCTATTTGGGATGAAGGGTCAAGGAACGGACTGCCCGGAACCACACCTGTTTATAGACAGAAGAAGCAGATTCAGAAAGCCTAAATGATACTTGTTTTACAGGAGAATGCTTTTTTTATAGAATAACAGAGTTGGAAGGGATCTTGGAGGTCTTCTAGTCCANTTTTACATCTGTTTAAATTGGGAATTTTAATAAGTACTGGAATTTTACTATCATTATCAAGGAATTTATCTTCTCTGGCAAGGCAAGGGAAGGGAGGGGAATAGAAGGACAAGAGAAAAAAAATATGTTTTATTTCCTGCAAATAAATGTGGCCACTCCTCAAATACTGGAAGATTGACATTGATTCTACTTGCATTTTATGTGCTTTAGAACTGCTAGGTTCTAAAGTAATCGGAGCTCACTCTGTCACATGGTGCTAGGGATTCGAACCGCCGAACTGCCAACCTTTCTGATCAACAAGCTCAGTGTCTTAGCCACTGAGCCACCGCGTCCCTCTAAAGGTGGATACAAATCTAAGAAATCATTTTTTAAAAAATTCAAAGCAGGCCACCAATAAGATAAATTATCCACAAGGTATCCCTCCTTGCCCAACAACTGCAATCCAAAACTATATATTCTAGCCGTACAATATAAAAGTTAAAAGATGCTTCTGTCTCCAGGCACTTACCAAAATTGAGTGTTTTCGATGCGGGCAACTTTTCCCACTCTCAAGATGATGTGTGTTTTCCAAGTTTCCCAGCTGGACCTCCGAAGGAATTTCATATCCCATTCCTGAATAGTCTGACACCATGTTTCTTGGCATCCCCACCTAGAAAAATGTGTCCTTTTTGGTAAGAGAGTCTCTTTCTCATGCAATGTGAAACACTCACGGATCTCAAACAGAGATTTTCAATTTTTTCCGCCCAGCTGTTCTGCAAAAAAAAAGGAGAGAAAGAAAAGGAGAGAAAGGTCATTAAATTGAAAACAAAACTCCCGGCGTGTATTGCTCTGAAATGAAATTATGAATGACTTTAATAGAATATTGTGAGTTACACGGATGAACACACAGTATTTCCTTCCCCTCTGGATGCTTCTCCATCTGATTTAACTCACAGACACATACATCAAACAACAGACAGAGATATCCCTTAAGGTGTTTTTTTTGCTAATAATTGTGCTCTGCAGGCATTCAGATTCAATCAGCGATCCTGTTTATTAGCAATGCTCTATTTACCTCAATAGATGCTCGAAGCATTCAATGAATATTATAAACTTATTAATTTAATAACTTGCTCAGAATGTAGGGATGGAGTGAAATACTGTTCTGGCCTAGCTTTCCCAAGAGCATGAAGCAAGGTCCTTGTCCCAACCAAAAAAACCTTTTATTACTTTACTGAGAATTCTGCTCATTCACAACCAGCAAAGTCTTTCAAGGGAGGATTTACAGTCCCAGACCTTATCTGGCTTGGAGAGCTGACAGGCCAATATCTGCAAAATTTGGCAAGGAGAATCACAAACCAATTAAGCAAACTAATTCTCTCCTGCAAACTCCACTCCCCTTTCGTTCCTCTTTTATTTCCTCTGGGAGGGGCCATTCAGCGTCCACTTAGGGCCTTACTCCCAAGTCAACCCCTGTTCTTTAGTTGTTCGCCTG